TTTTTTTTTTTTTTTTAAAGAGACAGGGTCTCACCATATTGCCCAGGCTGGTCTTGAGCTCATGGCCTCAAGAGATCCTCCCGCATCATGGAGATTATAGATAGGTGTGACTCAACACACCTGATTCTAAAATACTTTTTTTTTTTTTTTAAAAGCCAGAGTCTCACTATGTCACCCTTGGTAGAGTTCTGTGGTGTTACAGCTCACAGCAACCTCAAACTCTTCGGCTTAAGCAATTCTCTTGCCTCAGCCTCCCAAGTAGCTGGGACTACAGGCACCAGCCACAACGCCCGGCTATTTTTTGGTTGCAGTTGTCATTGTTGTTTAGCAGACCCAGGTCAGGCTCAAATCTGCCAGCCTCGATGTATGTGGCCGGCACCCTACTCACTGAGTAACAGGCGCTGAGCCTACAATATTCTTGAATTCAGGAAGTTCCCTGAAACTAAGCAATTAGTTGATTTAATAATAAAATTTTAATTTAGTTTCAATAAAGGAATCATTTTTAAACCAGAGTGAATTTATTCCGAATTGTTTGCAGATTTACCTCAGTAAGTCTGACATTTTCCTTCTTTAGCCGCACTACATACTGAATCTTCTGATGTAGGTTTTGGTGACCTACCAACTTTCCATTTTCCTCAGCCAGATACTCCACTTGCTTCCTTAACATTTCCATTTCCTGCAGGGAAATCCAAGGAGGGAAAAATGAGAAGGTGGTCTTCATTTTTCTTATAAAATCACATTATTTCCTGCCTTACAGGAAATGAGAGTCCTGCATCCAGCTTGTGATTGTACTTCTTTGTGTACACTAAGCCACCTCTAGTAAGACACCATCACAGGAATGAGTTTTCCCAGAAATGAGTTTTAAGCTGATTAGTTCTATTCATTCAAGTGTTTTAAGTACCATGAAAAAAACCCAACAAACTAATGCACCTGGAATGCTCTCTCTCTTTCTTCATACATTTCTTCCAGCTTTGACCTCAGTTCTTCCTTTTCCTGGAATGCTTTAGACTCCAAAGTTCTGGTTCGTTCAACTTCCTCAGCCACTCTAAGGCAGTCCATCTCTCTGTTGTGAAGGGCACTCTGGACTTCCTCCAGGCTGTAAGAATAAATATCACTTTATAGAAGCCAAAGGAACATAATCACAAAACAGTACTTGTTAGATATTTGTCCTCAAAGCCCAGAATTTTTACCTGAAAGTATCTTTACACTCCTCCCCTGCTGATGGCAAGACAGAAATTGGTGTATATCAGACATGCTTTTTATTTTTGGTTTACCCAAGACTTTTATTTTGGAAAAACTCCTCCAATCATTTTTAAAATAATAACAGTTTAGAATGAAATTTCTTTTAGATTCATCCCATTTGGAACAAATGTAATTTAAGTATCATTACAGTCTGTATGGTTTATTCAGTGTTCCGTATCTTAGACTCTATTTTTTTTTTTTT